GTTGTTGTTGTTGTTGTTGTTGTTGTTGTTGTTGTTGTTGTTGTTGTTGTTGTTTACCAGACTGATGAGAGAGCTGCTCCTGAGAAGTTCTGACCTGGTGTCTGGTCCGGTTCGACCCACACCAGGAGTTGCGTTGCTTGAAGAAGCTCCAGTGTTTGATCGTTTCAGCGCTGGTGTTCAGGCGTGCGTCTTCTTCCTGTTTGTGTGCAGGGCAGTAAAGTCCAGACCAGAGTGGGCCTCCTCATGCTGCTGTGCACGTGGAGCAGCAGCTGCCCCATTGCTGTCACGCACTTTCTGCACAATCAGGACAACGTTCCCTTCGTATCCTTGAAGCCGCTCCACTCGAACATCTGCTCACCTCTTTACTCCGCTCTCCTTCAAGATCTGTTCTTGTTTTAGTCCAAACATCTGCTTCACTGGTTTCTGGTTTTAATGGAACCATCAACTGGACACACGGGACTCGTTGAGGCTGCAGGTTTTTCACTCGGATTAAATTATAATCTTGACTCGGTGACCCTGCAGCTGACTGCTCAGATCTCGGAGAACCTGGGGGAAGACGAGCGGCTCGTGCAGGGCCTCTGTGCGCTGCTGCTCGGCATCTGCATCTATTATAACGACAACTCGCTGGAAAACTACACCAAGTAGGTGCCGCTGTAGAACTCGTGCACACAAGCTGCTTTTCAACGCACACGAGGAGAAGAGAACGTTTATTAGAACGCCTGCTCCTCTCTTTGTCTTCAGGGAGAAGCTGAAGCAGCTGATCGAGAAGCGCATCGGGAAGGAAAACTTTGTGGAGAAGCTCGGCTTCATCACCAAACACGAGCTTTATTCGCGGGCGGCCCTGAAGCCGCAGCCCGTCTTCCCGTCTCCGGAGCAGATGCTTTTCGACCACGAGTTCACCAAACTAGTTAAAGAACTGGAGGGTGGGTCACGAAGCGTCCTCGTGTTCAGACGTGGTTTTAAAGGTTCAGCAGGATTTTAAGAGTGACGGTCCTCTCTCTGCCATGCACAGGGATGATAACCAAAGCAGTTCACAAGTCCAGCGAGGAGGAGAAGAAGGAAGAGGAGGTGAAGAAGACACTGGAGCAGCACGACAACATTGTAACTCGGTACAAAGAGCTGATCAGAGAGCAGGTAAATGTGCTCATCGCACTGATTCACGAGGACTGAAGGTCTCGCGTGCGAGCAGTGTTGACGGTGCGTGTGCTGAAAGCTGCTTCTGACCGTGTGGTTGTCAGGACGCTCAGATCCAGGAGCTGAAGGAGCAGATGCTGTCTCTGAGCACTCAGAACGAACAGATGCAGAGTACCATGAGCCAGCAGCTGTCTCAGATCCAGCAGCACAAAGACCAGTACAGCATCCTCAAACTAAAGCTAGGTGGGTTCTCTCACCTGCTCACACGTTTAGCGTTTAATGTTTTCACATCTCATCGGTCCAAAGGTTCACTGAGGAGACGTCAGCAGGTTTTAAATTTCATTCAACCTTTATTTGTACAAGTTAGTGTCGGTTTTTAATACGGGTTTAGAGTTTACACACATTTCTGTGGAAAACTAAGCAACAACAGAAAGTACCGTAATTTACGGACTATTGAGCGCACCCGAATATAAGTTGCACCCACAAAGTAAAAATTCAGATTTCACCTTCCATCCAGCAGGCTGACTGACCTGACTGAAAAGTGTTGGATTGTGTACCTGGATTATTGAGCATGGACTTGGTTGGTTTGGATACGAACCGTGAGTGGAATAGTTTTCCTCCGTTAACTGAACTGTCTCACCGTGTCGTCGCTACGTTTTGATTTGTTGTTCTGAAGCAGTCTACGAATGTACGAGAACGTCGAAGCAACACGACGGTTAAACACAACTCCTTCAGATGTTTAAGAAACAGATTCTGTTTTTTGTATCGGTTTAAACTCTGAATGTAGCGGCACCGTTTGAACTGACCGTGCTTACGTTCAGGTAAGGAGAACCAGAGTCCACCCACGAACCACGGAGACGTCTCTCAGGTGAACGGGCTTCAGACAGAAGAGCTCCTCCAGCTCAGGGAGGAGCTGGAGGAGCTCCGCCGGCAGCACGCCCTTCTGCAGACACAACTCCACGACAAAGACGCGCTCGTCGACAGCCTGGTTAGTAGAAACCCGAGTGTGGAGCCTGTTCTGAAGTTACAGTTGGTCTCCTGGTGTTTTCTGTGACTCGTCACCTGGTGGGGTGGAGGAGCCTGAACCTGAATGATGAGAGGGGGACAGACGGGTCCACACGCTGGTTTTCAGCTCTGTGGACATTTCACAGAAGCTTTAACTTACAGCTCTGATCCAATTGTAATTAATTATTTACATACAAAGTGTTTTTAGACGACAGCCATGACTCCGAGTTTCTAGATAAACTCCAGAATGCAAATTAAATTTAAAGCCTGTTGCTGCTAAAGTTGTTTATCCCCCATAATGTCCAAATATAATAAAAGTAGTAATTTGACAGAGCTAGCAGAACGGTTGTTGAGGCTCTTGTAGGTTTGTTGCGTCGTGCGTGTGGAGAGTAAAAGTGTTTCCTGTGTTTGAACGTAGAAAGTGTCGCAGCAGACGGAGAGTCCAGCAGCAGGACCAGAGAACACGGAGCTGCTCCAGGTGAGAACTCACCTTTTCATTAAGACCTGTTGTTCAAGCCTGACCCAAGGGTTCGTTTAAATGTAGCTGTAAAAGATGATCACAACGTGAATGGTAGTGGACTGTACTTCCACGGCTCCTTTAAATCTCATCGAGAGACTCGGAGCTCTTTACAACAATCTGTGCCTCATCGGCCTCCACACACATTCACACACTGATGGGACACATCAGAGGCAACGAGGGGTTCAGTGTCTTGCCCAGGGACACTTCAGCATGTGACGGCTGGTGGAATCAAACCCTCAACTCTCCCACAGGAGGACGACTGCTCTAACCACTGAGCCACAGGTGCCCTGTGCAACACGATGTACAAACTGATCCTTCATTTGAGAGACTGGTCTTCACTCACTTGAAGGACATCACTCATGCCCTGCTGGACCCGCTGCAGGTCACGTACTGCACCAACACATGACGCAGTGAACATGCGACTCCACGTTACGCTCCATCAGCTCCAACATCCAACAACAAGGATCCTGTTCTTGAGCTTCAGCTCCTCGTTTCAGGACGACTGCACAGCAAACTGGCCCAGCTTAGTGCACCAACCCCCACCTGCCAGTGGATCAACAACTTCCTCACTGGTAGAGGTTGTGGAAGTTCACCTCAGGGATCTGGACTACCAGTACAGGTGTTCTGCAGGGTGGTGTACTCTCCCCACTGCTTTTCTCCTGAATACTAATGCAGTGTTTCCCCTAGTTTACTTCCGTTAGCAGGGAGCTCATATTTTACGTGATTTTTGTCGACAGGGGTCGGGGTGGGGGTTGGTGGAAACACGACTGTGTTGCTGTTTATACTGATGGTTTTCAAACAAGAGGGCGGAGACGTCTCAACGTGACAGAAACGGAGCGCTACCTTTGTAGCTTTTTTAGCTAGCTTGTATGTATTACGCGCCACTGGCTTAGCGCTACGTCGGTGCCGGCTGTTGTTGATTGGGGGGGGTGGGGGTGGTGTGTGCACCTTGCTTGTGTAATGGTAGGGGAAACGCACCTCCATGGACCCCTCGACAAAGTCATGAAGTTCTCAGGTGACACTACCATCATGGGCCTCATCCATGAGTCTTCTTACAGACGGGTGGTCGCTCAGGTTGTTGGAGCAGCTGCAACAAACTGCAGCTGAACGCTAACACAGTGGAGAGGGTGGTGGACTTTAGGAGGAGGCCAGCACGCGCCGTTTGAGACAGAACGGTGATGACTGTGATGTCCTGCTGGTTCCTGGGCACAGCCACCACCGGGGACCTGAAGTGGGACAAGAGGACCAGCTCCACAGTCAAACGAGCTCAGCGGAGGATGAACTTCCTGCATCAGCTGAAGGAGTTCAACCAGCCAAGGAGCTGATGGTGTCACACAGCAATCATCACAGTGTGACACCACCGTGAGCGTCTGTCAACAGAACCAGCTTCTGTGTGAGATCCATGGACCGTGAAGCTCTGTTCTGGTTCAGTTCTTCAGACGCTGCGGTCATGGAGCCAGACTTTCAGAAGCCTTTGAAAGAGTTCCTCATCAGCAGTGAAGATGTTCTGAAGGACGAAAAGCTTTTCGTTGGACTTCTGTGTGTTTTTCTGAACAAATCAAATATTCCTCTGAAGTAGTTTAACTCTGACGGGTCGATCCTTCATGACTTGAGACTCGAGTGATGATCAGAGTTGTGTTCACACAACTTGACGAAGAACCAGAACCGAACTGGACGTTGAGGAACTTGAACAGCAGCGTGTCACAAATACACAAGTCTCTCTCTCTCTTTCTTTCTTTCTTTCTTTCTTTCTTTCTTTCTCTGTATTTCTCTCCCCTTCCTCCTTCCTTTGCAGGTTAAATGTTCATTAGCAGCTCTTGTGCTCACAGAATCACCAACCTTTAACCTTTGACCTTTAACCTCTACTGACTGGTGTTTTGTTGTTTTGTGCACGTGTTTCAGGACTTGGAGTCTTTAAAGGATCAGATTCAGGCCCAGTCGGCAGAAATCCACCAGCTGAAGACGGAGAGACAGGATCTGCTGAGACAAGCGGAAGCTGTGGTGAAACTCTTCGACCAGCACAACCAGCACAGTCTGGGAATGAGAAATGTCCGTCGTCACTTGAGTTGCTTTAAATGGTTGTTCTTCTCCAGGCCTCTGACGGTGACGGCACATCTCACGCCACTCGAACAGACTTGGAGAGCAGACTCCGGGCGCAGCAGTCTGAGACAGAGAAGCTGAAGGTCCAGCTAGGCTCACTTATCTTTGTTTTATTCAACAGCTGTTCATAAATCCTCGTCACAAACTGAAATCTTCTTCCTCTCCTGCGGTGCAGGACAGCCGAGCACAGCTGGAGCAGCAGCTGGCTGCAGCCACAAGCACGGTGGCCATCGTGCAGACGGAGAAGACGAAGCTTCTGAGTGAGCTCCAAGAGTCCAAGAAGGAGCAGGATGACCTTCTGATGCTGCTGGCAGATCAGGACCAGAAGATCCACAACCTCAAACAGAAGCTCAAAGACCTCGGGGAGACGGTAGAACAAGTTCCTATACCAAACGTTTTCGATCTCTGGCTTCAGTCGGACGTTTCTTTGTTCGTTCCTCGGCCACAGGAGATCTGAACACGCAGCCAATAATTCAGTTCAGTGCAAAAATACTTTGTTAATCCCAAAGGGAAACCAAACGTTGCAACTCATCATCCTGGTTTCAGTAATCCGTAATTTGGAATGGAAACATTTTCATCAAGATTATTTAATTTCAGGGACTCGGGTGTTTATTTCTGAGTGGAAAAGTTTATCTTTGTTGTGCTAATTATTCACACGTACGCAGACAGACGCACTTCTACTGGGGCCCTGTGGCTCAGCGGTTAGAGCAGTCGTCCTCCAATGCAAGAGTTCGGGGTTCGATTCCACCAGCAGTCACATGCTGAAGTGTCCCTGGGCAAGGCACTGAACCCCTCGTTGTCTCTGTGTGTGATGTGATGAAGCTCTGATCAATCTCTACAGATTAAGATTATCTTTGTACAGATCTAGTAGAGAGCTGTGTGAACGTGTGTGTGTGTGTGTGTGTGTGTGTGGACGTGTGTGAACGTGTGTGTGTACGTGTGTGTGTGTGTGTGTGTGTGTGGACGTTTGTGTGTGTGTGGAGGTCAATGAGGCACAGATTGTTGTGAAGAGCTTTGAGTGTCTTGATCAGATCGAAAGGAGCTACCGTGTATCAGTACAGTCCATTTACCATTCACACACACACACACACACACACACGTGTACATGTGTACACACGTGTGTGTGTGTGAATGTATTGTAGGTTTGTGCTTCGGTCTGCCTGTGTTGAAAAGTGTTTTCTTCGTCCTGTGATGTGCATTAAACTGAAAACAACAACTTTAGTATTAAACTGTTTAAACAGTTTTTTTATTGAGCTGAGCAGGAAAAGTTTACAAAGTGATGTTTTCTAAAACTTAAAATTTAAAGACATGGACTTCATATTTCTTTGATCTGGACACGATTAGTAGGTTTTAGTGTTTTGATGTTTTACTGGTTTCCAGTGTTTGTTCAACCTGCACCTCTGGCCTTTGAGTTGTGGAAGTAATGTGGGATCGTTGTGTGTTCGCAGCTTTGGCTCGTACTTTTCTTATTCTTCTGTCACTCTTTACGTTCAGGTGGACGATGAAGACGACATTGACGCTCGGGACCAGACCTCTGAGGAGGACGACGAAGATGAGGACTAGAAGTAAAGGAGGCTAGAAAAGACTTGTCCTGCATCAGATCCAGCTGAGAAACTGGAGAACTAATAAATCCTGAAGTCGTTCGTCCTCCAGCTGCCGCGCTCCGCTCGTTCCTTTACATCGACGCATCTCGCACACTTTTCTTTCGTGGACGTGTTTTTCCTTCAGTCCAGTTTCGTGACAGCTGAGAGGTTTGAACGTGGAGCGTTCTCCACCGTGTTCATCAGTTTCACCAGTTTCATGCCATGTTCTTAAATGGTTCCCAGTCGGTAACAAAAGGTTCTTTGCATTTTTACAGTTGATCTGGAAAGTGAAGTTTTAAAACGGCTCATTTCAAACAGATTGTGAGTTCTTCAAGCTTCTCCTGCACTGCTGAGCACGTGTGTGTGCACATCTTGTAACATACAACTACTTCTGCTCCTGAGTTCGTCTGGCCTCTAGCTGAGCGCACGGTTAGCGTTCACAGTATTTAACACTTGTTTTGCTTCACTCGAGCAAAGGAAAATCTGGAAGATGTATTTTTGCACCTTTTTGGTCCCGCGCTGGTATTTAGATCCTGTATGATGTAACTTATCAATCGAACTGCCTTGAAATGAGTAAAGAATATATGTGTATGTCATAAAGAGGAAAAGCTGTAGATAAATTAAATTTTACTAAATCTACACGTTTTTATTTATTTTTCATTTGGAGTCTTTTCCTCTGCGTGTTTATTTTAAACCTCTTGTAATGAGTGCGTTTGGCCACTAGGTGGCAACAAAGACCAAGTTGAAGCTCTGCACACGCACGCACACGCACTCAATGCTGCAGGAATGATTTGTTGCTGATCAAACTGATCTGCAGTTTCTGTCACTGGTTGTAACTTTTTATAAACTTTGTTGTGATTCAGAATTGTACAGATTTTATTTAATTTCTCCACATCAGTGTAGGAGTTCATAATTTACATAAAGACTTTGTTGTTTAGAGCAGAAGGTGCAGTTCTGCTGCAGATACAAGGAATGTTCAAACGTCAGCGAATGTTCCCATAAACACAGACACGTGATAGACATGTATACATGCGTGCACACATATCTACATACATGTGTACATATATGTATATATTTATACATACACAGCATCCAGGCCTGAGTGAAATCCCTTATTCTGCTTATTGTGTGTGTGTGCGCCATTGTGGTGACATCATCAGTGACCTGAGTTCAGCAGTCTGACGGCTCGTAGGATGAAACTGTTGCAGAACCTGGTGGTTCTGGTCCTCGGGTCCTGGATGCTTCAGGCTGTTGGAGAACATCCTCTGGTGTCATGTCACAAAGTGAAGTTGGGCTTTAATTGGACCTCGAGGAATAAAACAAAGTGACGAACAGACAAATTAATTCACAGAACTTGCCAAGAGGCACAAAGGCAGCGACGGACACCACAGAAGAAGTGAGTGCTTCGGCCGTGCACGCCTGAAGAGCACGGATCAGATCTGAGAGCTTTGTCTTGAGCTGTAGGTCCTTCAACGTTTCACATGAAGAGCGCACGTTGCTCGCAGGCCAACAGAAGCTGCATCAACATTGTTTCTTCTTCCAGCTGCTCCTTCAGGGTCACCACAGAACCGACTCGATTGTACCAGATCTTCCTGAACCACAGACACCGAGCTACCACAGCCTCGGTGTGGAGCAGAGCTGCATCTAGGGAGCAGAGGGTGGGGGTTAAGAGCCTTGCTCAAGGGCCCAGAGTGGGATAAATGAATGGAGGTAGGTGTGGGTGCTTCACCAATCCCACCTACATTTTGAGGTCTGTTCAGGGAGTTGAACCAGCAACCTTCCGATCACAGGCTCAGCCTCCACCACCGCTCCCACTCTCATCAAAATTTATCTACAATATTTGTTTTAAATCTGGTATTTAAATATAAAAACCAATATTCACTGAGATCAAAATGCCATAAAAGTAAGAAAAGATATAAAAGTGAACTGTAAATTTATTTGATTAAATAAAACCTGTCAGTCAACAGGCTGACACAGTGGAGCAGTGGCAGATTTACTCGCACCACACCAAGGACTCGAGCTTCCACAGTCCCTGAGTGATGTCACAAAGTGAAGACGACGGATCATCCTGAAACCAGACATTTAAACTTTAAGCTGCAACAAAGTTGTCAGACGACAAACATCCTGTTTTTCACATTCCACTGAGGCAAACTTTATTTTTTATGTCTCAGGCTTTTTGATCGTCTTAAAAAACTACATTCCTATAAAAACTGAAGAATCATCCAAGGAAAGTTTTTGGACAATGTTCAGAAACCACGAACAGTTTGTTAAAATCACTTCAATCGACTACAAGAAATTCTGACTTTGAATAAATAAATAAACTGGGAGAGGTTCAAAACTTTTGCACAGTAGAGTTGAACCTCATCCTGAACCGACCTGAACAAAACAAGTTATTATAGAACGAGTGATAAAACAAATGCACTTAAATATTTGGTGAACTTTGAACCATTGAACACGCTGTTGTAAAGAAGTTTAGCAGAAACAGTCGACCAGCTAAAACCTGCTGTTCTGCAGGGATGATGCCTTCCAGATGTGTGAGCTGCCGGTGCCGTCACCGAGGCTGATGTGTGCTGATAACAGCTGGATGCTCCCGCTCCTCTTTGGAGGACGTGCTGTCAATAAAAAA